CTTTCAAAAGCAGCTGAAAAAGCTCAGTTGTCAGGAAAGTTGATGATGAATGCATAACTTGCTCAGATGATTTGTCATCACTTACATCCACAGTAGGGTCCTAGTGATATCATTAACCAGAATGATAAAAAATCAGACATTCTGCAGAAAGAGGACATTTTACTCAAGTTAGTAAATGGTGTGTTGGGGGAAGACACTGCAGACACAAAGGAATGTTATCATTTCTACAGAAATCTACTATACAAAAGAAGCTGGTCTCATATTTGCATTTTGCTCATATTATCTTGAAAACGCAAACCATCAGCTTAAAATGCAGTTTCCTATTCATTCTCTGTCAGCAACCCCAGCATTGGCATCAGTGTTGAGAGACTTGGCACATTAGCCTGTGACAACAAGGACATCCCAGGGGCTGTGGGGTGAGCTGAGGTTATTGTTGCAGAACTAGGCTTTGGCTCACATAGGACTCAGCTGTTGATAGGAGAAAACACAAGCATAGAATTGTTTTTCTACAGGCAGATAATGAATCCCCCTGGTCAATGTCTAATTGCCACCAAAAAAGCTTCTTAATTGAGTTTCCACATTAAGTGTTAGTAGTACAGGAGATATGAAGTATAAAGTTTCCCAAAAGATATTTATCTTTCATTTTGTAAAGAATGGCTTAGAAAAGAGAACAGCCTTCTGGAGATCTGATGCTGGACAGGGTAGGAGCTATTAGAACTGCAAGAGGTGGAGTCGCTCAGGAAATGCCTTGTCCAAGATTTGTCCAAAGAAGCTGGTGTTCCATTTAGCTCCGGATGGATTCATGCATTTAACAAATCTTTATGATGCACCTCTCCTTGGGATCACACACTGTCCAGAGGCTTGGGATGCAACAATGGACAAAGCGGAGGGATCCTTGCCTCTTAGAACTCTTATCTTTCAGGGAAAACTGACAATGAGAGAGTAAATGGGTTGAGCCATCTCACGCTCAGAGATCCGAAGAACAGGCTGCTAACTGGTCACAGCCCATCTTGAGTAAAAGTTCTGGGAGGTCTGGGGGTGCTTCCAGGAAGAGGTGACCTTTAAACTGAGATCCTAAGCATGAATTACTGAAGGGCAGAAGTGGGAAAGTGTTCTAGGCAGAAGGAATAGCTTGTGAAAGCCCTATGTGTTTTTGTTTTTGTTTTTGTTTTTATTTCTCTCCGCTTCTTCCTCCCCAGGATGCCCAGGTTGTCAAGTGATATGTACAGCATTATCCCATTTTCATTAATTTTTAAAACAGACACAAAACTACAATACATTTTGCATGGATATGTATACATGTATATAAAAGTATTTTAAATGATAAGTGATTGTTTTTGAGAAAGGAGGGAGAAATAGAACCTAAAACAAGGGCAAGGAAACCTCATTTTATCGGAAAATTTTAATTTACTTTATTAAAGGAGACTTTAAAAATATGTTGACAAAATGTTAGCAATAGTCACTTCTGAATTGTTGGTACCCAGGTGTTTGTTATGTTATCCTAAGTATCTTTCTCTATTTTAAAAATATTCTTAACAAAGAAAAATCAAGTAAGACCGTAGATTCTTCAAGTGGAAGGGTCATCTTCAGAGAATATGCTTTCCAAAGTCCTTTAGAATGGCAATACTGGAACTCTTAGCAAAGTTTGCATCACAGGGCATTAGACAATCTTGATTAGTCACGTAAATATGAAGAATAGCTCCTGTGTTATAGCAAAAGGGTTTGCTGCAGGACGCGTCTCACTTGCCACAGAATTTCTCTTTGACTTTCAGTGCAAGATGGCATTCGTCTCTGGTTACAGCAGACCCACTACTGGCATAGATTTCTTCTTTATCCTTCCTTCAAAAGAATGTTTGCCAGGGTTCTTAGGATCAACATGTATTCAAAATTGCAATCATGTAATCAGTTTCTATTGCTGAACATATTGTCTCTAATTCTCAGAGAAGCTTCAACTTTTCATTGCAGTGAGACCAAGTAAAGAACTTTTGAGAAGGAATGATTTATCTCATTGGAGATGAGTATCCAAGGCCTGTGTCCATTTCAACAGCCTGACCACAGAAGTGAATCAGCAGAATTTTCTTAGTTTCAAAGAACCGAGAACTTATCAATGAAACAAGACTGTGTTGCCCCATGCCTCTCTTCGTTGTAGTCATCTAAAGACCTCAGGACAGCCCTTTTCATTTCTTATAAATTTTAACTCCTGGCTCACTGTTGCTGTCTTCAACATTCTTCCTTGTCATAATTCACAATAATTTCAATATCTTTGTGAATGATCTTTTTGAGTCTTTAACCTCCTCTCCTCCAATGAGCTTCTCCTCCATCATTTCTCAACTGCCCACTTCCATTGTCATAACCTTGCCTTCACCACTATATCCTGATTTTTGTCCTTACCTAGCTTGGGGTCCACCATTACAGTCATTCCCCTGCCTATATCCTCAACTCTCTTGGCCCTCTCTTCGTCCTTAGTCCTCACTTGACAAACACCCGCCACCTCTACCCCTCCAGCCCCTAACCTACCACTGCTTAAATCCAACTCTTCACCTACTCTGCATCTCCACCCAGGGAACTGAATGTGGCATGGCAGGCTGCTGCATTTCTCTAGTCCATTTACACATCTCTGTTCTCAGACTCTCAAAGCTACTCTTGCATCCACTCTTGTTGCTGATGTCCTTTTTACCTATTTCACTAAGAAAAGAAAAGCTATCAGAAGAAAAGTTTCTTATGCTCTCACAATCTCATCTGCTAACCTGCCTGTATTGCCTTCCCTCCTCTCACTGGGAGAACCATCCATACTGTTATGTAAGGCTGCCTCCTCTGTCTGTGCCTCAGATCAAATCTCCCCTTTCTTGCTCATTTTTCCAGTAATTCTCCTTCTCTTCTACTTCATCAGTTTTGCCCTCTCTACAGAATTATTCCTATTGGCATGCAAACATGCCTTAATATAGCCCATTGTAAAATCCTGCCTTGACCTCACTTCCCCTTCCAGCAACCCTCATATTACTCTCTTCATCCTCCCAGCAAAACTTCTTGAAAAGCTTATTTATATTCATTATCACCAGTTTCTCTCACTGTATTTTTTCTCAGATCCTTATTCTTCTCTTATCAGGCTTTGTCCCTACTGCTCCACAAAAACAGCTTTGTTAGAGTCACCACTGACCTAACAAATCCTCATCTTCCTCTTGATTCAACCTACCAGTTCTTTCTCCTGGACACACTCTATTCACTTGGCTTCTGGGCACCCCACTGCTCTGATTGCCTTCTACCTACTGACTCAGTCTCTGTGGTGGTTTGACTTCATCTTGAGGAACTGATGACATTGGATTGCCCCAGGGCTCTATCCTTAGACTTCATCCCTTTTTTTCATCTACTCACTCTGTGGATATTCTCATAGGTTTGAACTACCCTCCGTAATGTTTATCAATGCATTTATACAAATAGTCATTATTCATCCAAGGACAGCACAAATTAAATTAATTTAGTTCAAAATGTTTTCCTTAGCTGGGAATTTTTCTACAACTCATAGAGAGCTTGCTTATATTTAAGGTAACATGGGATCACATTTTGACAATTTTCTGATCATGGGATAAATGGAGATTGCATGCAACAAAACAACAAAAACCAAGGAAGTTCTATAACAGGTATCTCAGTGAGAATGTTTAAAAATTAAATTGCCATTTTCTGCCATCGGCTTCTTAGACCATGGCTTTGGACATTCTGAAATTCACACCATTAAGATAGCAATTAGAATGAAACCATGACCAAGCCAAAATCTTTACCTTCTTGTGACTACTCCATTAAAATTTCTATGTTGGAATGTGTATATGTTTGACACAAAAGATGGTTGCACTGAAACACTTCCTTTTATCATAGAGAAAAAAATTATGGCACTGAACTGACCAACATGGGGAAGCCATATTTATGTTAAAGCATCTATTGACTCTTGAGTCTGAGATAGTTAATTAAGGTGAATATAAACCAACCAGTGTTGCTTGTGGGTTATGTTTTTTTTTAAATCACTGACTTTTTCATCCATAATTTTTACAGAATGGAATTCTTATGCTATTGAATGGGGACCTCATCTAGTTGAAAATGTGAGATTAATTTCATTGAGACTTTATGACTAAACAACTTGAACAAAGAAATTAAAAGATGGTGTGAACTGGGAAGGAAATGGGGCTTTTGTAAGAATTCTTCCAAATACTTTTGCAGCCATTTTTTTCTACCTGTTCAGAGAACAAGGAGGGACACATCATAAGAATTATATGGAGGAAATTATGGTAAAACAAGTCTTAAGAGAAAGTGAAAAGTCATCTTTTTCATCAGTGCATTATGTTTCAAGGTTACCTGTAAATAAATTTTTCATCTAGAAAACAAACAATGAAAAATTCGGTGACTTTGAAAAGAGGTGATTCAACAATTACTCAATTCATGTAATCAGTATACGTAGTTGGTCTGTATTTTTCTGGTCTGTATTTTTCAGGATCCAAAGTGAATTATCTATAAATTAGCTGCACAATTGCCAAATAATCCCTTCAGTTTTAACTTGTTAGAAATATTCAATATATTGAGATTATCCGATTGTATTATTTATGAGAAGTGACATTTCAAATGCTTCTTTGCCAAACAGTATCCCTGGATGACTTGGTGTTTTAGAATATGAAAATCTGTGCTAAGGTCTAGTCAGGACTGGTATTCTTTGTAAGCAGTGACTTATCAATTAATAAAATTGATCCAACATTTTGAAGCTTTGTTGAGATAAACTACTTAAGAATAACATTGTGTGCCCTAGAGAATTTTGGAATTTGTCAGAATAGTTATATATTTTTTTAGGAATGCCTTTTCTAGCTTAGTGCAGATTTAAGGGAAGAAAAAGCATCATGTTGGATATTAAACTTTTATCTGTTCTTCAAATTAGATCATTTCTTTAGTACTCAGCTACTTGTGAAGCCTTAGACATTGTTTTCATGACATGGTTTTCCAATTGGCCTTTTTCTTGGCAGGTTCCCAAGGGAAAAGTAGTCGTTCTTAATTTCCGATTCATAGACCTCGAGAGTGACAACCTGTGCCGCTATGACTTTGTGGATGTGTACAATGGCCATGCCAATGGTCAGCGTATTGGACGCTTCTGTGGGACGTTCCGGCCTGGAGCCCTTGTGTCCAGTGGCAACAAGATGATGGTGCAGATGATTTCCGATGCCAACACAGCTGGGAATGGCTTCATGGCCATGTTCTCTGCCGCTGAACCAAATGAAAGAGGTATTGTTTTCACATTATGGCAAAAGCAGCAATAAGGATAGCTCACAGTTATTGAATGCCTACTATGTGTCAGACACTGTTCTAGGCACTTTATATGGATTTACTCCTTTAAGGTTTAAGAGAAGTTCTTAGCTAATAAATGCCACCAAACCACCAAAAGATCATTTAAAAAAAATCAATCTTTTAAAAAAAAATCTCATATATATTCTTGTAAAAATTCAAAATAGAAATTCATAGAGTAAAAATGTGAAGTTTGCATACATATATACACATTCAGATATAGAAACATACCCCTTCATCCCATTGCAGTCCTCTCCTAGAAATAAGTGCCATACCTTTCTATGTGTACTTATTTATATGTATGTACTTTTACATTAGCTTTTAAAAAGTATTAGTGGGATCATGCATTCATATTGTTTCAAAACTTTTTCTTTTCGCTTCACACTGCGTGTTGGGATATTTTCATGTCAGTATATGTGAGTAACCCAAAGATAGAAATCTCTACCCTTGAAAGATAACTGCAGAGGTAAGATCTGTTAGGTTTGCAACCTTTTGCCTGATGACACTCCCGAATCTGCTCTTGCTTTGGGCTGTAGAGCAACATTACTGCTTTGAGATATCAGAGGACAGAATCTGAGTCTGACAGAATCTGGGTCTGACAGAGCAGCCAGAATATTTGAGAAGAAATTCTGGCTGGGAGCTACAGAGGAATTGAAGCACAAAATATACATATAAAATCTACCAAAAATCTAATCTTTAGCTGGCAGCTAAATTCTGCATATGTGCGGAAGAGCTCAATTGGACTTGCATGAAAGCATCAGCTGGAAGATGAAAGAACTGACAGATATTACAGCTACTGCCCACTGCTAGAGAGACATATTCTGAACTTGGATCTAGCCAAGTTAAATGCCTGCTTGAACAAAAATAATTTTTCATAGGAACACAACAGAATCTAGAGTCTCTATAATGTATCATTCATAATGTCCAGAATCCAATCACGTGATGACACAAGAAAAGTGTGTCTATATTCAAGAAAAAAGCAGTCAATAAAAACCGACCCCAAAGCAATTTAGATGTTGTAATTAGCAGACAAGCACTTTAAAGCAGCTATTATAAATACGTTTAAGAACATAAATGGAAATATATGTATAATAGATTGCGAATCTCAGAAGAGAAACAGAAAGAAACTATAAAAAAAGAATAAAATGGTAATTTTAGACCTGAAAGATACAGAATTTCAAAGTTTAAAGTTTACCTGATGGGCTTACAGGCAGATTGGAGATAGTAAAAGAGAGTCAGTGAATTTGATTAGAAATGATCTAATTTGAAGAACCAAGAGTAAAAATGTAAAGAAAAAGAGCCCCCCAAACTAGTGAGGCAATTATATCAAGTGGTCTAATGTGTAATTTGGGTCTGAGAAGAATAAGAGAGTGATAATAGTGCAGAAAAAGTACCTGAAGAAATAATGGCTTAAAGCTACCAAAATTTAGTGAAGAGCATCAATTTATAGACCAAGATCAACAAACCACAAACAACATAAATAAAAATGAAGCCATACCTAGGCACATCAAAATTAAATTACAGAAATCTAAAGACAAAGAGAAAACCTTAAAATCAATCATAAAACCAAATTACATACAAGGGAAAAGATGGTATGAATGACAGCATTCTTTTAATCAAAAACAATAGAGGCTGGAAGGCAGTGGAACAGCATTTTTAAAGTGCTGGAATAAAATTGTCAATTCAGAATTCTATATCCAATCTTCAGAAAAGAAAGTAAAGTAAAGACATTTTCAAATAAATACTTGTATCACAAGAAATACTGAAGGAATTTCCTCAGGTTGAAGGGAAATGGCTCTACAGGGTAACACAAAGGTAATGGAAAGATTGAAGGCCACTGGAAATGGTAAATATAAAGGACTATATATTATTTTATTTTCTCTTAATTTCTTATTTCTGTTCAAAACAAAAAAAAATTTAACACTGTATTGTAGAATGTATAGTATATGTATATATATACACACCATACATTATATATATATGTGTGTGTGTGTGGAATATATATAGTGTATGGAATATATATATACACACACACACACACATATATAACATATAGTATATATAATGTGTAGAATATATATATATGGCAACAATAGAACAAAGGATGGAGAGGTAAATGGAAACTATACCGATGTATATATACACACATATAAAATACACGAAGAAATACAATATTAACTCTAGGCATATTGTGAGATTGTGATAAATTTAAGGTGTAATCCCTAAAGTAACCATTAAAAATGCAAGAGTTAGAGCTAAAAGGGAAAATATTAAATTAGAATACTAACATTATTCAACTAACCCAAAGAAGGCAGGAAAAGAAGAACAGATGGAACAAAAGAAAGGTGAAACAAATAGAACAAAATAGAAAATGACACACTAAATCCAAGCATTTCAATAAATACATTAAATGCAGAGGATTATTAGAATGGGTTAAAAAGCAAAGGCCAGCACTGTGATCTACAAGAAAACACTTGAAATGTAAAATCAAAATTGAATGTAAAAGGATGGAAAAATATGTATCATGCAAACTTCATTAAAATTAAAACCAATACTTATAAAAAGACATTGTTACAAAGATCAATAGGCAACCTATAGAATGGGAGAAAATGTTCACAGAAATATCTAATAAAGGACTTTTATTCAAAATAAACAAAAACTTATAAACTTAACAATAAAAATATAAAGATTGCAATAAATATAAAAATGGACCAACAATTGAACAGACACTTCACAAAGGAAGTTATCTGAATGACTAATAAGTACATGAAAAACTACTCAGTATCATTAATTAACAGGGAAATACAAATTAAAACCACATTGGGATACCATTACATACCCACCAGATTGGCTAAAACATCAAATGATGGCAAGCATGTAATGCAACCAAAGTACTTATACTACTTGGGAAAATTTTTTCAGTAGTTTTATATGAGATTAAATGTCTACATCCACTCTTGGCCTAAGAATTGCATTTCTGGGTATTTATGCAAGAAAAGTGAAAATACATTCTACAAAGAAATTTGTACAAAAATGTTCACTTGGCTTTATTCACCCAATAATGGAAACTGGAAATATCTAAGTGAATATCAACAGGAGAATAGGTAAACAAATTGTGTTTGCATACACTAGAATACTACTCAGCAATGTAAAGGAACAGATTACCAATACAGCAATGCAAATGAATCTCATACATTGTGCTAATAAGCAGGAGAATCCAGACACAGAAGAATACATACTAAATGATTTCATTTATATAAAGATCTAGAATAAAACTAATCTAATGTATAATTGCTCAGAAAAGTAGTGTGGAGAGTCAGCAGACTGACTGGGAAGGGATACAGGAATTTTGTGGAAAATGGTTCTATATCATCATGAGAGTGTGGCTTACATAGATATACTAATTTTTCAAAATTTTACCACTAAGTTTTGTGCATTTCAGAGTATATGAATTTATCTCTCCTAAATTTGTTAATAAAAGAGCAGGTGGTGGGGATTAGGTAGCAGTATTCATAAAAAGAATAGTAGAGTGATGATAATTGTTGAAACTGGGTAGAAGTTATATTTTTCTATTTACCTTGTATGTGCTCGAAATGTTGCGTGAATAAAAAATTTTAGACATTTTTCCAACCTCAGTTTTTAAAATACATCTTCTTAATTTTAGAGATTTCTTTTAAGAATGATTATCTTCTGTGTCAAAGAAATATTTTATTATATTAATTCCTTTATTTTCAACTCAGTTTTTCTTTGTTAGTTAAATCCAAGAAAAATTAAATTTAGAACTATGTGCTAAAATATCTTTCTAAAATTATTACTGTCAGTCCATCAACACATGCATAGTGATGATGTCTGAAATGATGTTTATTAAATATTAACTGTGGTTAGATTTAGGAGGTGGTATTTGGGGTAATTTTTTTACTTCGTTACGCTTTTCTATATTGTTGAAATTTTTAAAACGTATTGTTTTTACAAACAGATTATTCTTAAAAATGTTTAAAGATGTCAAACATAAAATTTTCTGGTAATGAAAGTTTTCTATACCAACTAATTCAAATGTCCATGGGCATGGATTTTAACCCTGTTTATTAACACACCTGCCTAGAGGGTTCTTAAAATCTATGTAATTTGTAGAGCCTACGTGATTTCTGATGCACATCCAAATGTTTTGTCTTCTCCAAAAATGAAAGAAAGAAAAGAAGCTATGGCCCTGACTCCATTCCTTTACTCTCTTGTTGCTGATGTGATGTGTCAAGTAACAAAGATCACTCACTGTGTGTGTGTGTGTGTGTGTGTGTGTGTGTGTGTGTGTGTGTATTGAGGAGAGTGTGACCATTTTTAAGAGAAAATTTAAGAACTTCTGCCATTGCCTTTATTTACTGTACTATCTATCTGATATTCTAAATTCCTAATCTCCTCATGGTCACATTGCCATAACTTATATGAGGATATAAACTTGGACTTTTTTTTTTAATATTTAATAACTTCAGGAGATCAATATTGTGGAGGACGCCTTGAAAGACCTTCCGGCTCTTTTAAAACCCCCAACTGGCCAGACCGTGATTACCCTGCAGGAGTCACTTGTGTGTGGCATATTGTAGCTCCAAAAAATCAGGTGAGATTCCCTGAAAATACTAAGAAAGTATGGTTGTGTGAATTGTCTAGACACTGTGAGGGGCCCAGCTCTCAAGAGCTGTAGATGCAGGGCAAAGAAGGCTCTGCTGAACACAGGTATTTCTCCATATGAAGACCTAGATTAAAATTGCCTTTGCAAGTTATTTAACTTGCAAAGTCATAGATTCAGTTTCCTATTATATAACTGCAGTTTTCAAAACAAGTTTTGAATTACAAATGGTAAGCAAATCCCATGTGATTTGGAAGATGTTATAAGCAGCAGTGACTAATTGTGAGAAGATAAAAATCCCCAAGTACATGTGTGTTTCAGGTTACCATTTGTTCACATAGCAAACCCATCATATGTCCTCATATTAGCTATCCTAGTCACCAGATTGAAAACAGCCTTACTGCTTCACTTTGACAAAACCAATGCAAGCACGCCATGTCTTCTCTTCAAAGAACAAGTGGTCTGATGTGAAAGCTAGCATGCTTTGTGGTTTCTTTTGGTTGTTTTTGAAAATAAAATTGTGCAGCTTCCCCACAAATAACTTTATTCGTTGCTCTAAAACAATCAACAGAGAAGGTCTAGTTTTCCAGTATTTATTAGTTTGTGGTTATATGAATTTTTTACCCTTTCTGAGAACCACTTTCAGATATTAATTGCAGGACAGAACTTAGCATAGAACTAGACCAAGCCTACTTTATGGACTTTTGAAGATAACTTTAAAAAATTCTTATTATTACAAACACTATAGACTTTAATCAAACACTCTATGGTGAGCATTGTGATATTGTTCTTTAAAAAGTTTCTAATCTGATCTTTTGTATCACTTAGACAAATACTATTTGCCATAAATTCATTTTTAATGGAAAATTAGGCAAATATACTATGCAACTTAATGATTAGAATGCACATCCACATGCATGTAGGCACTTTGATCATAATTCCAAAACTTTTATTTTTTAGAAGAAAAACATGGTCGTTTAATGTATTAATGAACGAGTCTATAAATCTATTGAACATTTTATAATTTAAAATAACATTTAAAAATTACATTTCTCAAACAAACTATTATGTAGTTCTTGAGATCGTATTGGTCATCTTTCTCTGTGACAATTGCATACATATTAGACTAAATAATTTCAGCTTAATTATACTGAAGAGATTACAATTCAGCATCTTTTTTTCATTGTCTTTTTCTTTGATTATTTAAATTTAAATTTGGGTTTTATTTTATTAACATGATTTTTGGCTTCAGCCAATTGAGTTTTTAATCATTGTTGTAGTATGTGAAATCACTGGAAGCTCTGGCCAAAAAAGAAAAATATAATGAGAATAGTCCTAAATTTCTTTGCAAATCTAAGGGCATTTTCTTCTACTACATACTTACCTTCATTATTTTTTAATCATAGCTTTCTCTTTTGCCCTCCTATTTATTTATTTGTCTTGTCTACAAAAATTGTTATGTGACTAATCTCTAATTAGAGAAAGTTCAGCCAATTTTTTAATACCCTGGAAGGCATTTTATTACTAACTGGTGAGAAGTTACTAGACACAAAGTGGAAATATTTTAATACAATTTAAAGCAATGCTAAGTATGAATAAGACATTATTCACCCATCACTGTTTTTGACTTTTTTAAAGGTGGGTAACTATGTAGATATGTGGCAGTTATGTTCAAAGCCAAAATTTACCTTTGGTCCCTCTATGATGCTGTTGCCATTATCATCTTCATCCAGATTGCTGTGTCTGAGTCTTCTTTGGTTGGTAACTACATGCCTGACTTCACAGGAATTAATGACCATTATCATCCCTAAGAGTAGGAAGGGTTGCCAGCCCACCTGCTGCCCCACAAGAGTGGGGACCAGATGTCTGGGAGCCATGGGTATTTATGAACACAGTACAATTTACTTTGATTCACACATTGGAAGTGCTCTGGAACAAATCTGCTTGTACAGGGGAATGAGTGCCTATTAAACCAAAACTTCCTATTAACTTGAATAATTTAGGTCTCTACTATTGGTACTAGTGCAAAAAAAATTTAAGAAATACTTCAGAACTCTGACATCGACTTTGTGTATCATGCTTTTATGAAGCCTCTTTAAAAATCAACCACATTACCAATCGGCTGTGCTAGGCACATTCTTCAGACATAAATCAAGAAGACACTACAAGCCCACTTCCCTGAGCCCCTAGTCAAAAAGAATTTGACTCCTTTACATGTGATGGGACTATCAGTTTCCTTCCCTCAAAACGGCAACAACTCTACCATCTCACCCACCCAAACACACGTACACCACACTCTGACACACACTAATATAGGGGACATCTTAGATGATACTTTTTAATTTCTATTAGTTTTCTTCTAAAGAAGAATGAAGTTGGTAGGTAGTCCCTCTTTCCACTCCAACACATACCCAATTATGGTCTCAATGTAGGTTGCCAGGGTTACATAGTGTTTCCATACTTTCTTAGATGTAAGTGAACAGAGCTCCTAAGTTTAAGATCCTAACTAGGCTAGGGTTCATCTGGGGTTGAGATGATCTTTTGAGATGATTAAAAATTAAAGCAAAGAATACTACAAGAAATACAAATATCACAGAAGAAATATAAAAACAAAAACAAATAATTTAAACAATACATTTTTACAAAGGAAAATCATGGTACCCTATAAATCTGGGAAGAGAAGGAATTCCATTGAGGTTATTCAGCAATGATATTTTGATGCTTCTAATGTTGTGCTTTCACTAAAGCTTATAGAATTAAAGTTTGAGAAGTTTGATGTTGAGCGCGATAACTACTGCCGATATGATTATGTGGCTGTGTTTAATGGTGGAGAAGTCAATGATGCTAAAAGAATTGGAAAGTATTGTGGTGATAGTCCACCTGCGTAAGTAGCACCTGTTTTATTTCATAATATTTTGGTGGTCCAAGACTTTTCCTATTAAATTGCCCAGTTATATCTTATTTTGGGGAAGACTTTATGTTATTGTTGTTTTGTTCACAAATTCTTGGGTTCCATGACGGTGGAGTTCCATACAGCACCAAAACGAAGAGTAGTCAACCCAGAAAGTAAGGCAACATTACCAACTGTAGAGAGGCCTCAACAGCCGAAGAGATAAACAGAAGCCGAGTTGGTGATGCCCCAGGGGCAGATACTGCGTCAGTTTCCTGGATATATCACTGCCCTGCAAAGGTGAAGTTCAGCATCACAGTAGAATGGGGAAAATTCTAAGAAAATACGCAGGGGCCTGAATACTGAGGATCCAGAGAAGGAAACCAGGAAGCTTACTTAATCAGAGATCTGTCCTGGACCTTTCAGAACCTTGTGGCACCTCATCACATTGTTACTCAAATCTCAGCTGAGTGAGCCTGAAAGGTTCTGTGTATTTATCAGCAAACATTTATGGTGCTAAGTGCTCTGCCACTTACTAGCTGTGTGACATTGGGCGTGTTACTTTAATAATTAAGAATTTTTAACATATTCAAGTTAGTTATAATTTAAATATTACTATACCCAAATTTGTTGGAGAAAGGCCCATTTCTACATTCCTAAAGAAAGTGTTCCTTGTATTCTTTTTCTAGTGCTGTTGTAACAAATTACCATAAACGGAGTGACTTAAAACAACACATTTATCGTCTTACATTTCTGGAGGTTGGAAGTCTGAAATCAGTTTTACAAGGCTGAAATCAAAGTGTCATCAGCTCTGAGGGGAATCCATTTCCTTGCCTTTTTTCAGCTTCTAGAGGCTGCTTACATTCCTTGGCTGTGGCTCCCTTCCTCCATCTTTGAAGCACATTAACTCCTATCTCTGCTTCTGTCATTGTGTTGCCTTGTCCTCTCTGAGAGTCAAACCTTCCTCTTATGAGGACAATCATGGTTACATTTAGGCCTCACCTAGATAATCCAGGATAGTCTCTCCTCAAGATTCTTAACTTAAGCATCTCTGCAAAGTCCCTTGCATATACGATGACCTATTCCCAAATTCCAGGGATTAGAATGTAGACATCTTTTGGGGCCATTATTGAGCCCTCCTTTATTCCAAACCAGTCTTTTTTATCTGTATCCTCCTTCTAACCTCCTCATTGTGTCCCTTGAAACTTTCCTCTACCTAGTAGTCCTCTTTCTCCATCTTCACCTCTGCCTTCTTTTTTTGTTCTTTCTCTATAACCTATAAACTTAAGTTCTCCAAAATTAAAAGAAAAAACTCTCTTGACTCTCTGTCCTGCTCTAGCATTTTTGCAATATCTCTCCTGTCAATATCCAAATATTTTAAAAAATAATTTTGTTTCATTTCCTAGCAATATGGAAAATAAGCTACCTTTTAAAACCATCTCAGAATAAACACCAATGTTCCTTAAGTAAATATTAATAATAAAAAAGTTGAAGCATTGCTGAATTGGCAAAAATCTCAGAGGTCAGAAATGATGAGAAGCCCAAATCCAGAGAGAGAAACTAGTACTTGAAGGTGACAGCTTCCTTCAGGACATGTGCTAGTTTTTGATGACCTAGAACTTCATTCTTAATAGATCATGCTTGGGGACAGGAGACAAAGCTCAGGGTCCAAACAAGGAAGGAGATTGGATCACAGACCACGGCATAAAGAAGGGACCTAATAGAAAGTGACACGAATGTGATTGAACTAATCCTTTCCCTTCCCCAAAGAAAATAGTAAGAAATATTGGCTGTTTTGGTTTTGGCTTTTGGTAAAGAGAAGAAGAGGTAGCCTCTGATGAGTATTCCTAATAAAAAACCAGTCAACATGTGCATTTGAAGGTTACAATTTACACTACCAAAAAACACTGTTCCCAAAAAACACAGTCAAGAATTTAGTTTAAAAAAGTTTCCAATTTGATAGTTTCTCCAGGGTGACCAAAGAAAACTCAAATTCTGTCTGGAAGAATGCATCTTAACTTAGGCTTTAAGAGTGCCTATAAAGTTTCAAGGAACATAAGTTCTCAATACAAAAAAAAAAAAGGAGAATCACAAAACACAAAGGAAAGCCAACATAAACAAAATCAACAGAAACAAACAGTATAGTCAGACCCACAGAGGCTATATGTAGTAAAATTATGAGACACAGATGTGAAATAAATATGCTTAAATTCATGTGAAACATTAATCAAGAGACTATAAAGTACAGCTATTTAAAAGTATGAATAAGAAACAAGAGACTTTCAGAAATGATTAGAAAAGAGCCTAATAGAATTTCTAGAACTGAGACATGATAATATAAAAAAAACTTAATACATGAGTAAATAACTGATAAGACATAGATCCAGAAAGAATTAGGGAACTGAGAAATAATTACCTGGAATATAGCACAAAGAGACAAGCAGATGGAAAATATAAAGGATAGATTAAGAGTCACAGAGGCTAGAGTGAAAGTGTCTAATAAACATTTAATCAAGAGTTCCCAGATAAAGAATAGAGAATGTAGGGAGTTTAATGTTTGAAGAAATAATAGCTGAGACTTTTCCAATACAGATGAAAGATGTCAATTATCAAATTCAAGAACTCAATAAATCCTAAGCAACAAATATAGTAATATATCCATTTCTACATGTATTATAGTAAAACCACTAAATAACAAAGATGTTGAAAATAGCCAGAGAGAAAAGACAGATTATGACAAAGGAAAGAAAATTAACCTAATACTCGGCTTCTCAATAGCAACAATGGAAGTTAGAAGATCTTAGAAGATCTTCAAAGTGCTGAGACAAAATAACTGTCAAGCTTGAGTTATTTACCCAGAAAAACCTCTCTTTTGTGAATTTGGGTGAAATGAAGGCCTTTTCAGTTAAACAAAAGCTGAGAGAGTTTACAACCAAAAGCCCCTAACCAAAGAAACTTCATTAGGTTCTTCAGGGAGAAAGATAATGATCACAGATAAAAGACTGAGATGCAGGAAGAAACACTGAACACATAGTGGTCATAAGAGTTGAAAGATTCTGAGGTCCTTGTATTATTTGAGAACAGGGTGAAGATATTAAACTTTATAATACGCTAAAGTAAATATGGATGTTAAATTTAGGGTAACTTACAGGAAAAGTAGAAATAGTCTTTAATTTCCAAAACACTGGAGGAAAAACATAAAATGAGAAAAAAAGTTTGATCCAAAATAAAGGGAAAAAGAAACATAAAAAATGCGGCCAAATAAAAAGCACAAAATAAAATAGTAGAAATATCTCTAGATGTATCTGTAATCAGTATAAATGCTGATGAATCAAATCATTAATGAAAAGCCAAAGAGTATCAGACTGGATAACAAAGCAAAATCCAGTTATATACTGTTTATAAGACACATCTTCAAAATATAAGAACCCAGCATTTGAGAATAAAATGATAAAAAAGATATTGGCGGCAAATGCTAATTGAAAGAAAACTGGCATAGCTTTATTGATATCAAGAAAAAGCAGATTTTTGGCAGAAAGCATTACTAGAAATGTTCCATATAATGATAAAAAGTGCAGTTTATCAGGACATGTACTAGTTCTTGATGACCTAGAACTTCATTTTTAATAGACCATGCTTGGGGACAGGAGACAAAGCTCAGGGTCCAAGCAGGGAGTAATTGTATGTACATCAAAAATATGCAAAGCAAAAAAATGAATAAAAATTAAAAGACCATTTTTGTAGTAGATTTCAAACACATCTTTTAATAATTGACAGATTAACTGAATTACAGAAAGATGGAAAATCAGGATGCAAAAAAAGAAAAAACAATTAACAGGCTTGTTCTAATGGCTAGAGAACACTGCGTCCAACGATGAGAAAATGTATTTTTTTTTCAAGCAAAAAAATGGACACAGGAAAAAGAAAAAACCAGAATTGCCAAATAATCACTAAAGAAGTTTGATCTATAGTTAAAAGTTATCATGCAGGGGAACAGGCCCAAATTGCTTTTTTCCGTGAATTCTAACAAATGTTTGCGGACAGATAATTTCTACACTACACAGATGCTTTCAGAGAAAAATAGGGATTGTGCCACAACTAATTTTATAAGGCTTATATAAGTCGGCAACAAAACAAGGTAAGGACAGTATGAGAAAATAATATTAAAGACAAATCTCACTTATGAATGTGATAAAAAAAATTAAATCCTAAAAGAAAACATACTAGCAAGCCAAATTTATAAAAATATCTTTTGACCAGGAATTCAAGGTTGGCTTGAATTTAGAAAATCTATTAAATTTATACATTATCAGATGTATGACTTGTAGATTTATGTTTTTATTTGTTGAAAACATTAATTTATTAAAAATATCTTTTCTTAAATAGCTTGAATTTAAAATTTGTATTTTTAAAAGATATTTTAATAGCAAAAAATATATGAAATACTCAAGAATAAATTTAACAAATTCTATGCAAGGCCTTGATAGAAAAAATTATAAAACCTTACTAAAAGACATTTTAAAGGACCTAAATAAATAGAGCTATACATTGTTCTCATGAATAGGAAGAATCAGTACCATTAAAAATATCGAAATTGGTTTTCCATTAAATCTGACAGCCTGGTTCTAAAATGTGCATGGAATTGCAAAGGGGATGGGAGGGGTGATACTAAGTCAGTTCTGAAGAAGAAGAACCTGGCAGGAGGATTTGCCTCACCATGATGTAGCCATGTCAGAAAGATGTTGTGATTAAGACAATGTGGTTTCATCAAAGAGATAGACAAATTGAGTAGTGAAAACACCAAAAAGAGGCCAGAAAGATTCCACATGTGTCCAAAGATTGGGCACATCACAGAAACTCACAGGTCAGCAGGTAAAGAATAGCCCTATTGCAGAATAAGGCAGGGACAATTTTTATTCATGTGGGAAAAATGGATCACATTCATATCTAATATCACAAACATCAACTACCAGATGGATTGGGACTTCAATGAGAAACCCAAACGAGAATTTCTGCTCATCAGAATTCACCTTAAAGAGAGGGGAAAGAGAAGGCACAAAACGGATATTTGTAACATATTTTACAAAGAACTAGGTTCCAAAATGTATCAAGAAATCCTAAAAATTAATAAAAGATAACAAATAGAAAAAAAATCGTTAAAAGACATGAAAGGCATTCCCAAAAGAAGAAAGCTACACAGTGAATAGTCTTTGAAAAGAGTGTAAATTGGTACAACCATTTTGGCAATTGGTTTGGTGTTATCTAATGAAGTTGAAAATGAGCATCTATCCTGTGACACAGCATAGAGCATTTATCCTACCCTCCTAGTGTGCCCACTAATGGTACGTTTGCCCACGTGCACCACGAGACATATACAAAGAGTGTTCTCAGCAATATTGTTTGTAACTGGTGTGGAAGAGGAGTAAACAGCCAAATGTTTATGAATAAGAGAATAGTTAAATTGTGTTTTAGCACACACTACACAGCAGTGAAAACAGTAGATGACTCTCACCATTATAATGTTGAGGGTGAAAAAAATAACAAAAATACACACCATACCCTTTCATTTATATGAAGTTTAAAAGCATGCAAACTTATACAATATATTATTTAGTGATGCATATATATATATATATATATCGGTATATCTATAGATAAAAGAAAGAAAAGGATAAACACACCATTGAGGGCAGTGGTTGGGGTCGGGGAGGGGGAGGCGATGGAGGAGGCTGTTGAACACCACTCACTTCTGAGGAGTTTGTCTGGAATAGCCTGCCTGCCTACCATCAACTAACACTTTTACCAGAGGGATAATTTTTCATAGAGTATTTCTGGGGTGGGGCAGTGTAGAAAATGAGAAAATCTGTTTGGGGAGGTTTTCCCCTGTTAAAAGTATGACTAGAAGGAGAAGTGTTGTGCTTGGTGGGACATCACCTATGTCTGGTTCAATGCAGTATCAATAACACTGAATTCAGTTCAAAACATTTATTACATCCCAGCCATGTGGTGGGCACTAGGTTAGGTGCTTGAAATGCAAAGGTAGGGAGGGGTGACAGAGATGAAGAGGAGGATGTGGATCAAGAAATATTAGGAGGCAAAATTGGCAAGACATGGTGATTGAATGTAGTGATTGAAGAAGAGGAACACTGTGGGATGACAAAGTAGAGTCAGACAACATAACCAGCTATAAGACATGAAACAGTATCCTTAGTTCATTCTTGGGATTTCCCGGGGTGGATTCAAATGAAATTTCTTCTTGTCTTTCTAGTGATTTGTAACATTAATTTACAGATACAACACTTGGCCCTCAATACATTTATGTCACTTTGATTCTGTCACATTCATACTAAAGCTTAGTAGCAGCATAACAAAAATATGACTGTTACTAAAATACTCTTCCTTGAGAAAATTCAGTTTCCAATATGTTACATTCTTACTAAAGTTCAGTAGCAACATAACAAAAATATGTCTTTGTTACTAAAATACTCTGAGAAAATTTAGTTTCCAATGTATTCTTCGAAGATTAGTTCACAGAAAAGGCAGTGAATGATCACTATCATTATAGCCTAAAAGGCTGATCTGGTTGGGTCTTAGGTTTCCTCTGGTGCTTATAATAACTGCCTTTTTTTTTTTTTTTTTTTTACACCTACAGCACCTGGTCTTCATAGGTGGTCTCCCATCCAAGTATTAACCAGGACTGACTCTGCTTAGCTTCCAAGATCAGATGGGATCGTGCTTGTTCATAGCTACAGCACCTGGTCTTCCTAGGTGGTCTCCCATTCAAGTACTAACCAGGCCCAACCCTGCTTAGCTTCCAAGATCAGACGGGATCGGGAGTGTTCAGGGTAGCATGGCTGTAGACTAATAACTGCTTTTTGTAATTTTATCATTTAAACAAGAGTAACATTTGTTTGTAATTGTAGTTGACAGTTGTGTTTCATACACACTATTTGTATTTATTTAATGGAATTTGTTTTCAAAAGCAAGATAGAATATTTTTGTTAAAGACTTGATTCTCAGAAGCATTATTTAAATGACCTTGGCCACTTTCGTGACCAGAACTGAAAAAGTCATGAAGCCCACTCTTAGGTTTGCTCCATCCCTTGGCTCAGAAGATAAGAACTTTAGGTAAGAAAAGGTCTTGCAGTATTTCTTACTGGTTGGATCAAGTACAGATCTACTCTCCCCTCTATCCACTCCCACTCAAAGTAGCTGATAGGTGGGAAAAAATTATTTATATGTCCGTGATGCCTAAGAAGTGGTTTGGCTGAGAGAAGATGCCTCAAAAAAGGACTTTAGTCAAACCACCAATTAACTCAAATAACTTGTTTCAAAAATACTTGTCCCTAGAGTCATCTGGTCTTGGGTTCAAATTCTGACTCCCCTGCATACTAGCTGTAGAGTCTTGGGCAAATCACTTGAACTCTCTGAACTTCAGTTACCTGTTCTATGAAAAGGGGATAGTAATAGGATTGATGTGTAGACAGAATTCAACAGTGCCTTACTGAGCAAACAGTAAATGTTAGCTATTAAGCATTAAGATTGAGTAGATTAAAGCTTTCACCTTTTTAAAAAGTATTTTAGCTCTTAAGTTTAAACAAATAGTAATCTTTTGTCAGAAATTAATGGAAAGCTAGAAAATTCTACATTTTAGTACCAACTAGAGTGTATTTCTACACTTAAACTTTGAAATATATACATATATACTTAAACATGTTTTTCTTCTTTTAGACCAATTATATCTGAGAAAAATGAACTTCTTATTCAGTTTTTCTCAGACTTAAGCTTAACTGCAGATGGATTTATTGGTCACTACAAATTCAGGCCAAAAAAACTACCTACAACTACAGCACTACCTGTTACCACCACATTCCCTATAACTACAGGTAAGTTTTTCAGTTTTGAAGTTCATACACAAACTTAAGGAGTATAAGAAAAGTTCTTCTGAAGTAGGAAAAAATAAGAAGGAGATATTTGAAACTAAAATAAGTTAAATAAGATGAAAACCTATGTCAGAGAATAATGCAACTCCATTAGTGAAAGAAAAGTATAAAATGTAAGAATAAAAATAATTAATAATTTTTAAAAGTCATCTAAGAAAATTATGACCACTTAACAATTACTAGGAACTGTATTATAGGCACAGATCATTATAATACTAATTTTTCTTTCCTGGCAATTATAAAATTATGGTTTTCTTTTTACTACATAGAATTGTAGTATCTTAGGTTGAAGTTCTAAGGCCTTGATGCTAACCTGTTTTCACATATACCGGTATTTGGGCTTTTTTTCCCCCTTTGCTCCAAAATGTGTCATACAAAATATATTATTTTTTCAAATTGGAGTAAATCAAACAAAAATATTCACTGTATCATAGAAGCCAGTGGGAAACTCTGATCTGGGGTATGGTCTAAGAAGTGGAGAGGCAGGAGTGGGTCACTGTATCTAGTCTCTACATTCTGTCAGCTCCACCCACTGGGATTTCAGGCCTCAGATCTCAACATCTAAATGCAAGGAGGGAAAAAAGTGGAAGGGAAGGATCTAAGGTTAAGATATGAAATGGACTGAAATAAGACCAATTGTATTGCCAACTATTTTCTGTATGTACCCTGGGTAGGGCCATCCTGAGTACAACAAGCACTTACCAAAAGGCTGATTTTTCTGAGCACTCCCCAATTGTGCCATCTTGTGGCCTGGAAGTATACTGCCTCATGTTACAGCAGTATTTCTCCAGCTCATCTCAGTAAACCCTGGTGGCCTTATTCTTTTCAGTGAATTATCTATATGGTCATAAGCATGGGGTTTAGTGGTTCCCCAGCTTTTATCTTGAGTCCTAAACTGAAATTGCAAACATGGGTTTGTAATTTATCTTCTAGAGTTTTGCAACTGCTAAACATTTCAGTGAAAATTTAGGAAACTCTTGTTTTTATCACAGTTTTCTGCCTCAAACCTGCTTTTCTACCTTTTTTCCCTGGCATGGCCCACACACAGCACCTCTTAGGGTCATTTTTTACTTCCTCTGTCTTACCTCCCCACTGCATGCCCCACCACCACAGAGCAGACCATGTCATTTTTCCCCCTTAAATTCATTATCTACACCTGTGCCATCTAATACAGTAGGCACTACCGAACACTTGGAATGTGGCTAATGATACTGAGGAACTGAAATTTTAACTTACTTAAATTTTAAAAGCCTCATGTGGCTTGTGGCTGCCATATTGGATAGCACAGGAGCCCAGCTCCTTTAAGTGGTATGTAAGTCCCTTCACATTTGATCTCTAGCCTCTCTGTAGTTTTATCTTTAGTCCCTACCACCTCTCTCCTTGTGCTCTAAGTATTTTCAATTTTATTCTAAGTGTGGGAAAAGCTGTTGATGGATTTAAGCCAAGTTCAGGATTAGATTCACACTATGGAGATCACTCTGGCTACTGTGAGGTGAATGGATTGTAGAGGTCAACAGGATCCACAGATTCTCGTGGTTGTCCATGTGAACTACGTGTGCGATAACAGAGATAAAGAGATCATCAAGAGGTATTGACCTTTGTGCAAGCTAGGGACCTTGGGAGATATTGACAGGGCTTGATGATTAATTTGAGTAGGGAGATCAGAGCAGTATCAAGAGTGTTTCCCAGGTCCCTGGCTTGCAAAACACAGGAGATAATGTTACCATTTGGCAAAGTCAAGCACTGAGTTTAGGGGTATGACCTTGTTGAGTTTGAGGTGTCTGTAAGAGACTCAAGTGGAGATGTCGTGTAGATAGCTATACATGGGTCCCCAGACCAGAAGAGAGATTTAAATTTGAGAGTCATCAGTATATACATGGCTGACATCATGATCCAGAGTGAGATTACCTAGGAAGAAATTAGGGATGAAAAAAGGAGAAGGGCTGGAATTAAATCTGTAGAATCTCCAGCATTTTAAAGAGGAGGATATGCTGGCAAAGGAGACTGAAAATCAGCAGCTAAGAAGAGGCAAGGAAGCCAGCAGTATGTGTCATAGAAGCCATGGATGAAAATGTTTTAAGAAGGGAATTGTGAGTAATTCAAATGTTGATGAGACTTCAAAAAAGGGAAGTATTAAAATGTTTCCACTTGATTTCATGACGTGGAGGCTCCTGGAGACCCTAGCAAAAGTCGTGTGAGTGGAGTTGTGTAGGCAGAAGCCAGACAGAATGGGCTGAGGGGGTGTGTGGAACAAGGCAAAGAAACTGAGACAATAAATTCCAGCAACTCATTTCACAAGTTTGGCCCTAAGGAGGGAGAGAAGCCTTGAGTGTCTGGAACAAGTTAAAGCTAATGGGAAATCACCTATAAAGGAGAACATATTGATGGACAAAAAGAATAAATTGAAGAAGTGATTTCTATGAAGGTGAGGTGTGGCCTCCAGAGGACTCAGAAGGACAGATCTTAGACTAGAGGTGGGACATCCTTCTCTCTCAGGGGAGGAAAGCAAGAGAGAGGGTACAGATAAAGACAACTCAGACGTTTGGTGGGGATCTCGACATTTTCTTCTATGATCTTTGTTCTCTCTAGAAAATAAGTGAAGCCACCTACTGAGAATGAGAAGGGAGGTAGAAGACTGGGTGGAGGTGCGCGTGGTTAGGAGAATGAGAAAGAATTTGAAACACAGCTGTGGAAATTGGAGAGTGAGTTGATCCGCCAAACAGCTTGTCACTTTGATGAGGGTCTGTTTGTGCACTCGGCTGAGTGTGAACATAGATAAACAGGCTCCTACAGAATTCGAACAGGGTCGAAGGACAGAAGGAAAGAGAGTTTACGATATTGTCAAGAAAATGACTAAAATAATGGACCACGAAAACTAAGTGGAATAACCAAGGAAGTAAAGGTGATTGGTGAAAATGAGAGAGGTCAATGTGTTGAACCTCTAAAGACAGGGAAAAAAAAGTAGTCATTAAAGTAAATAAATAGCTAAACTCTAAGGAGAGGAGAGGCTATACTGGATATGAGGAAGTCTAAATTTGAAAGATTGGTGACTAAAGACTTTTGCAGGAGAACATGTGAGCTTAGGACTGAATGAGATGGAGCAGAGGAAAAGTCTCTGGGAAGGATGAGGCCACAGCACTGAGAGGGATTGTCAACAGTGAGGTGGCCTCAGGAACACACAGGGAGGCTGAGAGCTAGGTGCCACGCTGGGGAGTGTAGGTGTTAGAGAGACCACAGGAGGATGAGGAGGGTCAGGGGAGTATAGCTGATGATTTAAGGGCAAGAGAGCAGGGAT